ACATTTTTAAAACGTGGCAAATATTTGGAAAACCTTTTCCAGGCGATGGCATCAATATCAATCTCAATGAGCCGTAGATGGGTTGAAAGAAACTATGCGCAGAAATGAAAGGAAGAGAGGGAAAAGTCAAGAAGCACGCAATCTTTAGTTTTAAACAATTTGTACATCGATCTTTTAGAGCCAAATAGTCCAATTTTGAGCGTTTGGTTGAACGTGTACCACGCTGCAGCCAGATAAAAGCGGAAAATATGAAAGAAAAAATCAAAGTGCTTTGAAAATCATTCAATTTGACACGAAACCACCTTAATATTTACAAAGCACACGTCATATTTTTCTTTATACTAATTTTTTTCATCAATTTAAATGAGAATAATCCATGCGGAGTGTGCGAACATTTCAAAATCATGAGTTGAAAATCGCTGATTCCGCAAGTTTAAATATTAGAGCTTTACTCAGAGCGGAACGGCGTGATGCCAGCGCGAAAAGCGCACCGGCGCCTACAAACCTAAGGGGATACTTCACGCATTGCGCAATGCTTCAAGTATCACCTTAGCTTTGTAGGCGCTATTGCGCGCTAGCCGGCCGGCCGCCGCAGCGTGTCACGGCGCCTTATTAAACAACTATTTCACAACAGAGGTGTTGCACAGTATCATACGAAATTGAAGGCGCTCTAACATATTAAGAATGTCAGGCATCCTTTAAGAATACGAAGCTTCCCTCGCAAAATGGATCGAGATACCACGGCACAAAAGGAGAGCGGCAAAAACTTACTAAATCCTAGCATCTGTATTTAATAACGTTTATGATCATTCTTGAATTTGCCGCAGAGAATTTTCTTTATCTTGATTTGTGCTGACTTTTTCGTGATGCAAGAATAATAATGCTTGGGTTAAGCAAAAGAGTAGTTTATGTGAAGCAACCACATTCTTGATTTAAGAAAAAATACTTCTTGGCGGCAAATTTAAGATTTTTTTTCAGTGTATGTTGCTATACTACACTTAATGTCAATTCCACTTACTGAACAACCCCTTAGCCTACCTCAACACTTTACGTGTGCAACCATACTTATTCAATTCTGTTCGTGTTGGGTTCACCAAAAGCGGCAACACATGAGTCTAGTTTTGGATTTTTTTTCTTCTTTTTTTATGTGCATCGAGAGCTCATACCACCGTTGTATCTACGAGTTTTATTTTGGTGTAATATATCAGTCTGGCGGAGCAAAGATCATGTTATAAAAAAATAGTCTGACGCCTACTCTGTCGTGCTAAGGAAGAACGCCGTATGAACACTCGGGAGTTGCCAAATTGTATCCGATAAAATGTTCATTTTTGAAAAAAGTCATGAATATTTTTTCGTGAAATTTTCAGACACTTTAGATCAAATTAAAAACAAAATTATCTGAAAAGTTGCAGGAAAAATATTCATAAGTCTTCCTGAAAATTAGTGATTTGCCTAGGAAATTTGGCAACGCCTGAAGGCTCATACGGCGTTTTTCCTTGGCACGGCAGTGCTACGGGGTGGCATGACGTCCGCGGAAGGGTTGTGATAATTTTAATTCTCTATCTCCGAGACAATTTATGGCGCTGTGTTTCCACTCACCTGCAGTTCTTGTGGGTGTTTTGGTCGATTAAACCGAGCAACTGAAAATGGAAAACCACGTTATAAAATTTTTAATAGTAAAGCCTTAATTAGGTTTTTGACAGGTCTCTATTTATTGTGAAATTTTTCATGCAGGCTTTAAATGAAGATCTTTAATCTCAAAATCCATATCGATGTGGGTCTAGTTGAAATAAATGAGTTATTTTGATTTAGCATTTGAAGTATGATGAATTTGATGCAGAAATTATATATACTGTAAATATTTACTTTGGAATTTTCAAAGTATTATGTTGGTAGAAAAAAGAGAGGAAATTATGCCCTGAAATGTGATGTGGCGACAATTCCCTGGTTACACCAGTAATCCAATTTTTATGACTTCTAATTGATGTTTAGAAATTGATAATTTATATTTTGTTTTTGTACAAATGCGATAGATCAATGCAAAATGACAAAAGTAGTGTATTTATTTTATCACTTAGATTCCATCCGATAGGTAAATTCCATCACTACATGTGCTTAATCGAAGCAGATTTCTATTGCCCATCGTGTTGATCAGCTTTCATCCGTGTAAAAAAACACGGATGCATTTTTTAAACTGAATAAATAACTTTTCCACCGGTTTGAATGAAAAAAAGAAGGAAAAGCAATGCATATAAAATCTTGTAACTTCAGCAAAATTAACGGAGTTATGAGTCAAAATCAAATTAAAGTCACAGAGAAGCCTTGCTCCGTTCTTGAAGGGGCAACGTAACTCTCTAAGAGCAGAGACGGGAGGCAGCCGAAAAGCCCACACGATGCAAATAGGTTGGAAAGGTTAACTGAACAAATTTGAACAGGCCATGGAACCGATTACTGAAACGTTGTATAATTACGGTGCCCTGCTAAATTTTCACTATTAATCAAGGCGGTCTAGCCACCGCCACGGTTTACAGACTCCGGCGACACCCGTCCCTTTCCAGACGCGCCCCCGCCCCCTATCATTCTTGCATCCCTGGTCCAGACCTGAGTCATTCACCCCCTCATCCCCTTTCATTCCTGATTCCTCCCTCTCGTCCGTTGAATGGTCAGCACCTCTTTCTTGCTGCGATGAGTTTCGCTAAGCTAGCGATGATACTGTTCCCGATGAGTTTCTAGATTAATTGAATCGGAACGTGCGAAAACCGCTAATGTCCATTATTCCAGTCTTAAGTTTTTTTTGAGTTCATAATACTTTTTAGGAGTTGATACAACCATAAAAGTGATGGAAGGATTCGTTTTAGGATTAAGGAAACCCAAAGACGGGTTTAAACGCCACTTCCGTGATTGCAGCAAACTCCGAAAAGTATTATGAACTCAAAAAAACCTAAGACTGAAAAATGGACATTAGCGGTTTTCGCACTTCTCCGTTCAATTGTGTTCGTCTAATTATTCATGCCTGGTTTAAGGGCACTATATAACTAAAGTAATTCCATGATGACAAATATTCGGAAATATTTTATACAAGCATGCTATTAAAAAGTTCGAAGCATGAGTGGTCATGAAAAAAACATTAATCTATGATAATGTCATGTTTGGTGTGTTTTATGCGTTCTTTTTGTTCGGTATATGTTTGATTTGTTTGGTGTGTTCACGTGCTCTCTTTTTGAAAATGTGTTTATTTGTTCAGTAAAAATTAAAAAGCTGCCAATGGGTGATATACTAGTATAGTAAAAGTCTCTTTATTACATCTTATTTTAATTGCGTTTTGAGTAAGACGTGAAGAAAAAAGTTCATAATTTTAAAAAAATCAATGAAAGAGAAAAAATTAATAGTAGAGGTGAGCTCTGATTTAATGTACAAAATGTTTCAATATCATTCATCTCACAGGGCAATACAGTATACGATGCACTCGCTGGTCCATGGTCCATGTCCTCAAATACATGGACATGGATCACGTATCATGCGGGCAGGAAAGCATAGCATGGAATCTGAAGCGGTATAGTGCGCCTTCATTCTGCACAGTGAACTTCAAAACATACAAAAGGAGGGACGGCACAAATAATGCCCACCAACACCTTGAGTATTTTTATAATATCACTCTCTTGTAACTTCACGAACTCTTTCTATTGGTTTTTCCTTTTTTCTTTATACTTAGTATGTCTGAATGATCACAGTATTGCTGCGGCACCGCTCTAAAGTAAACGTGCATTTTATCCTTACTATACTACTTCTTATTCAGAATGCACCCTCAAAAGCCTCTTTACATAGTCCTAATATTTTACATGCATTACGGGACAGTAATTTCAATGCATTCTTTAAAAAAAAAATAAATAAATAAATAAATAATTTTGACACTATTCCTTTCCTCATATCTTCCTTATTAAGGACATTTGACTAATAGACTCTCCAACAGTCTATGAATAAATGGACTGCATTTTGCAATTTGGAACTATAAATCCTGGCTCATTTGAAAAAACACTTATGTGCATAGGGAAACTAATGGCACATACGTTGTTTTTAAACCGGGCTAGAATTTATAGTTCCAAATTGCAAAATGTAGTCCAAATATGTTGCTAAATAAATATACAAATCTTTATCTAAATACTTAATGGGTGCAAGATAATTAAGTATCATTTTTTAAAGCGAATTTCAAAAATAGTGAATTACGTTTACCCTTTATGCAATACAGTTCCTCGAAGGTCAAATAAATTTCTAAATTAACCAAGGTTTAGCCATGATCGAAGAGGTATTGTCTTTTTTGGCTGTAATATAAGGTTATACTAAATCCAAAATGTTCAATTATCGGGCGTTTTCATCCGTACCCTATGCTTAATTTGATCTCCCTCCTCCTCTCTCGTTAGATACCTCCTTACTCCTAACTCCTTCCTATATATCTCCACGTCATTCATATACGACTGAGAACTAGTTCACATAATACACCTAGCCAAATTTCCTCCATGGTTTGTTTGGCTTTTTCTTCTTCCGAATGATAGTTCTTTGTGTTGTCATGTCCATCTGACCCGTCATATTCGCCGTGGCGTTTATGTCCACTGCCAAGCTAACTGTGGTCGTTTTGCTCGTAGGTGACGCATTGAAGGAGTTCTCCGTTTCTTTCTTGATAGTGGATTCTCCGTCGGTCGGCAGAGTCCTCGCAGATACCTCCTTTCTTGGTGTCTTTGTAAACGTATCAAGCTTGGTAGCACTTGACGAATTAAGGAAGGTGTCGTTGAGATACTTGCGCGTGCAGTACTGCAGAGTTCGCCACCGGAAAATACGAGCATAGTGATGGGCTAGTTGACATTTGCACTGGAGAGAGACGAGTTTGAGGCCTATGGCCAGTTTGGATTATAGCCGAACTAGTTCAGCTACTACCTAGAAGTGGTTTAGATACAAC